GAAGGCAAGCATATTGTAAGAAGCCCAGAGAGGGCGAGTACATTGGGGAAAGACCCAGGAGAGGGGGCGAGCGCACTGTGAGAGGCCCCAGGAGAGGGGGCGAGCACGAATAACTGACTCAACAACATCTGAGACATCTGAGAGGCTTGGGGCATGGTATAAGGGGAGGTAGGAGCCACGCATAGCCCTAGGGCTGGGTGCACCAAAATCTATTCATATAGAATGGGGGCCAGGAAAAAGTAAGAGCACCGTGTCCAAGGGGACAGATAAAGGCAGCCTCCCTTACAATACTTGTGGCATCAAAGACGTGGCGGGCAAGATAGCGAGGGTGCTGGATAGCTAACTTGGCACGGTAGGGGCACCAGGAGAGATCACGGCCGCTCCTGGGGCCCCACCCTGTGACTGGAGTCTATGTGCAATAGGCTTGCAGAAGGTACAATTCTGAATGACAGCCAGCATGGCTTCATCACAGGCAGGTCTTGTCTTACCAACCTCATCTCCTTTTACGATCAGGTAATTCATCACCTGGATAAGAGTGAAGAGGTTGACACTGTATAACTTGATTTCCAAAAAGCCTTTGATCTGGTACCCCATGATGTTCTCGTGAGAAAATTGGAGGATTGTGGGCTTAACTGCGAGACAGTTAGGTGGGTATATAGCTGGCTGCAGGGTAGGACCCAGAAAGTCCTAATGAATGAATCTGTGTCATCCTAGTGAGAAGTGGCCAGCAGTGTCCCACAGGTGTCGTTCTTGGTTCAGTACTTTTCTACATCTTTATCGATGATTTGGATGTGGCGGTAAAGAGCTCACTGGCGAAGTTCATGGATGACACCAAGTTATGGGGAAGCACAGTCACGCTCCAGATACAGGCGGAGCTAGACAGGCTAGCAAGTTGGGCAAGTCAGAACCAGATGAAGTTCAATGTTGAGAAATGTAAAGCGCTCCATCTGGAGATGAACAACCCCTTACAGACCTACAGGCAGCGCCCAACTGACCAGCACTACAAACGAAAGGGAGCTGGGGGTAATAATAGATCACAGTAAGACTATGAGCCAGTAGTGTGATGCTATAGCCAGCAGGGCAAATAATACTCAGGAATGCATCAATCGAACCGAGTAGAGCGGGGAAGTGATTCTCCTGCTCTACTCAGCATTGGTGAGACGGGAGCTGGAGTACTGTGTCCAGTCCTGGGTGATGCACATCAACAAGTATGTGGGAAAGCTTGAGAGAGTCCAGAGAAGAGCCACCGTATGATCAGAGACTTGCACAGCAATCCATACAAGGAAAGGCTGAGGGACCTGGGACTCTTCAGCCTGAAAAAGAGAAGGCTGAGAGGGAATTTGGTAGCAGCTTACTGCTATATCAGGGGAATACATCAAGGGCTCTGGGAACAACTGTTCACCAGGGCACCCTTGGGGAAAACGAGGAGTAATGGCCACAAACTCCTGGAAGACCATTTCGGGCTCAACATTTCGAAAAACAATTAGTGTCCAAACTGTGGAATAAGCTCCCTCCAGAGGTGGTGCAATCAGCTACCCTGATAATCTTCAAGAGGAGACTGGACAGTCACCTTGCTGGGGTCACCTGACCCCAGCTGTCTTTCCTGCCTGGTGCAGGGGGCTGGACCCAATGATCTTCTAAGGTCCCTTCCAGCCTTACAATCTATGAGCCAGAACCAGAGCTAGGAGCCAAAACATAGGTGCCTCCCTGAACCAGGAAGCCCCTCTCTATGCTAACATCAAAACCGAGTTCAGTGTAAGACAGCACATTTTTGGTGGCAGCATTTGTTCTGTCCCACCTTTTACATAATGCTATAGACAGGTTAGTATACTTGCTCAGGAAGGAGATCTGAGTTTTAGGCATTTTCAGCCTAAGGTTACTCGGGGGGGCTCTATGGGAAGCTGGACTACTGGATAGCCCAGAATGCAAAATTCAAGGAGCCAGACAGAGCAAGTAGATAAATGCCTCAGCAGCCCAGTGTGGTGGAGACTCCCCTGGGTGTGGGGAACATGTGGTACCAAGATCAGTCATGCCTCTTATATCAGACATTAGTTTAAAAATAGTAATAATCCTGGAAGTGTGTTTAACAAACGCCACAAACACATAACACATCAGAACATTAGGCAGACCATCAGCATTGCCCAGCACCACCACTGAGACTACAATGGAGCACAGGTGAAATTTCAGTGTGATCTAGATGGTTTCTGAGCATGTCACAAGCTTAAATCAGACACCTAAGGATTCTCCTTGAGCAAAATGGAAGGACCTAGTTTTTTGTGTGCCTTAAGTGATTTTGTGCCTGCCAGAGGAAGGTCACTGTAAGTTAAAAGCCTAAGTTTAGCCTAAATCCCCCGTAGTTACCTAAAAAAAAAAAATTTGCATGTCACTTCAACTGATTTGTGATTCCCAAGTCCCTAAATTTTGTTGGCTTTCTATATTTCACTTAGACATATATGGTTTTGGAGCGAGGGCTGTGTTTTCATTATCTACTGGGTGCATCTACATGCACACTGTACTACGGAGTTGACTAATTAGCTGCAAGTAAAGTGTCACCATCTATGTGTGTCCTGGTATTAGGGTACAGTAAATTAACTCTGCCATAAGAGAACTGTCAAGGACAGAACTTCCTTATGGCAGAGTATTTAACTGCGATCAAATGCTTATGTGGATGGTGACAACTGGGCGAAAATTGCGCCTGGTCAGCTCAGCCAGCCAGGGGCCAGGCCCCTCTGCTGCCTGCCACCACCACCCGGAGCCCTGGGCTGTTCCACCCTAGCTTTAATTGCTGGAGTCTGGGGTGCCTCTGTAGATGCCATGCCCTGGAGCAGTTAACTCCAGTGCAAACTGCTCTGGAGTTTATTGCGTCAATGTAATAGCAGGACCACATGCACCCACTTTGTATATAGGTTGACATGTGATGCACATGAGAGTAGCAAGAAATGGAGCAAAAGTGAAGTGAAAAAAGGGCTAAGTAACTGAAAGGTAAGGAAGAGTGGTTGGGTAGGAATAGGTGAAGGGCACAAAAAGGTGAATCTATCATAAAGCCAAAAGCTGGTGGGTGATAAGGTAAGAGCAAGTGTTTTGGGTACAAATGATTCATCATTAGGTACAAATGATTATGAACTCCTTGGATACCAGACATGTGGTTATGATCCTATTGCCAAATCAAAGGAAGGTGTGCAGCAAAGGAAGAGACTATATATGTCAAGAACCTCCTTTACTTCTGCTTGTCTTGATTCTGAGCAGGGACAAGGCCTTTTGGTTTTTAAAGATCTTTAAGCCATTCATCTAGAACTATTAAAATTGATTAGTACTCCTAATCATTTGTAGTAAAATCAATGCCCTGACCTCCTGTTATGTGAACTGCATTAGTTCTGATGGTGAAGTAACTTCTTTCATGGGACCTGAGGTGGAAAAAACAGCTTCAACTCAAGGGCTAGAAATCTGACCAAAAAAAGAAAGAAAAAAAAATCAAAGCATTCACTAATCTAAGGAAGTTAGCGAGGAAGGAAAGAGCAAAATGTCTCTCCCAACTCCTTTTAATTGTCAAGGAATACTATATGCTTATAGACTGAAAAAAGCATGGAAATTCCATGCGGAATTATAATTTTACCAGCTACAATCTTTCCTGTTTTTCACTGGATACTAATATAAGCAGTGAAAATTGTTAGGAATTGTACTGCCTTCAATGTGATTCAGTTGTTGACCATAATTCTTTAAAATGCCTGTGTTAATAATACATTTTTTATGAGGTAAAGTAAGTATCACAGAATAGTTTATGATGAGTTGTAGAAAGAGAGCATATGCATACCAGAGCTCAATACAGTAACTTTCAAACAGAAAGAAAAGGGAAAATTGAGTAAAAGGAAGTTGACTGAATTAGCTGAATGTTTGATGAGGAACAGCAAGTCAGCAGAGAATGGAGGGCTGGGTTTGTCATGGACTAATGCAATGAGGAAGGTTTTAAGGAGTAGCTGAGAAGGAGGAAGTTACAAGTGAGAACATGTAAAACAAGTCAAAGATCAACATCCAGCTGGAAAGAGTCATGAAAGAGAGATGCCTATCCTGAAAGAGCAGGAGGTGGTCATTGGAGCGAATCCATAGGATTAAAAACATGTACCGTACATGAATTTGTCCATGCTTGAGCAACTGATACAATTTTAGATTCACCTCGTAAAAGAACCTGTTATTAAAGATATGTTTGTGGGGAAAGATGAAACCACACCCTCTCATTTAATTATGGGTGAGACACAATTTTTTCAAGCAGGAGGTGATGGCTGAATTTCTTGTTTTTATATGCCTGTCATTACCGCTGAAATTGAGGGCAATGAATCTGTGACAGTCTGACCTGATTTAGACTGAATATAGCATATACCTCATATGTAATAAGGAAAAAAAATGGAATTTGCTACCAGTTTTGCAGGGAAACCAACCAAATCATGGTGATAAATCTTTGCAAGACTTTCTCCCTGTGGAAAGGACCTTGGATTAAGGAAAGATTACAAAATAATGGAGAGGTTTTTAAATTACTTCTTGGGAAAAAAGAATAGTCCTTTGTTAATAAGGGCAATACTTAAAACAAAAATAAAGTTAATGTTTTTCCATGTGCTTTTTTTTGTCCTGGCAGATCTACAACCAGCATTGGAGTTGTGTGGTGCTTTGATTTCTCTGGCAAGTCAGTCATTTGCTTGAAAAACTGCCCACATTTTTCAAAGTGAAATACAAATAAAGAACATGACCTGCCAGGATCATGCATGAAAAAGAGCACATGAAAAATTGGTAATCGATCTAATCTTTATAACTAATAAAGAGATCTTCCATCTTTATCTTACAGAAAGATATATTAAACTATCTGTATATCTTGATAACAGATACATAACACTATCTCCTCATAGATAACTTGATCCAGACTCGTGGTCAGAGGTGATATCTTGTATTAGACCAACAAGATTTTTGCAAAAAAAATTCTTTAGATAACTTGATGTCTTTTATCCATGTACCTGTACAGGGACAGACGTATTCCCCCCGCCGCAATCGCGGCGCAGGTGGGTGCACGAGCTTGGTCTGGTTCAAAAAGAAACGACCCGGGACTCGCCGTTACGCGCCGCTCACATGTGAGGCCTTTCCCGCCCCCCGCGCGGAGCCGCGGGAGCGCGGCGCTGGGGCGGCACCGGCAGAAGCATCCGAGGAATGCGGACGCCCAGGGGGGAGGGGCAGTCGCTCCGCCCCCGCGCGCCACGCCTCTGCCCTAGTGACCGCGGCCCGCGGCCCGT